GCTTGCCTTGCATGCCTGAGGCCCTGGGTTTGATCCCTCAGCACCACATAAGCAAAAAGAAAAAAGCCGGAAGTGGCGCTGTGGCTCAAGCGGTAGAGTGCTAGCCTTGAGCTGAAGAGCTGAGAGACAGCACCCAGGCCCAGAGTTCAGGCCCCACAACCGGATCCAAAAAAACAAAACAAAACAATTAATCACCAAGAAAAGCCAGAAATAAAGTTGTGCCTCAAGTGGTAGGGTGCTAGCCTTGAGCTAGAAAGTTCAGGGACAGTGCCCAGGCCAAGTTCAAGCCCCACAACAGACCACCCCCACGCCCCCCCCCAAAAGGAGACCTCTAAGTCCATTCCCTACTCATGTCTACCCCAGTGACACATGAGTCTTACATGGATATCTGGGAACAAGGGGATCTGTACTGGCAGTGATTGTCCAACCTAAGCATGCATTTGCCCCTTAAAACTAAGAGCTGTCACACAGTTCAGACACTTGTAACAAGCCTCCTGCAGAGCCTTGCAGAGAGTGTGGAGAACCACCCTGAGTATGAGGAATCACGGGTAGCTTCTGGGTAAACACAATAGAGGCATAAGGTCCCAAGGAGTGGGCCAGTCACTCAAAGGCTTCAGCAACCTTAGACAGAGCCAGGCCACTGCTGCTTGGAACAAGCAAGCCCTGTGAACACGGTGGTGCTCAGCTAGCCTGGGCTCTGAAGGACCCAGCTGTCCTAGACCTTGGCCTGGGATTCTGGGGGGAGGATTTGGTACAGCCTTGGGATATCCTACATAGTAAGAACAGCCACTGACATGGAGCCACACTACATGGTCTCATAATGTGAGGCCTCGAGTCATGTGGCATGAGCCCCAGGGGGACTGGAAGCAGAGTACAGCCACGTGGATGATCAGGCAGGTGTATAGGACAGGGCTCCAGGGAGCACTCAGGACTCCAAGGCTGAGGAGCAGCCTTGGTCAGAAATGCTTCTACGTGTTCTCACACATGGCGCGGGCAGGGCAGAGAGCGTGTGCTTGGCATGGCCCCTATCCAAGCCCAAGAACAACGGCAGGTCTGATCTTCCTAGACTTCCCCTGGCTTTTTTTTGTTTTTGGTAGGATTTATTTTCTTTCTTTCTCTCTTTTTCTTTTTCTTTTTTTGAGCTGTCCCTGATATTTTTTTGCTCAAGGCTGGTGCTCTACTACTTTGAGCCACAGTTCCATTTCAGTTTTCTGGTGGTTAATTGGAGATAAGATTCTCACATATTTTCCTGCCCAGGTTGGCTTTGAACCACCGTCCTCAGATCTCAGCCTCCTGAGTAGCTAGGATTACAGGTGTGAGCCACCAGTGCCCAGCTTTCCCCAGTTTATTTTAACCGCTATGTTTTCCCTGTAATAAACTACCACAAGTGTAACTGCTTCCTGGGTTCACAAAACACTGCTAAAGGGCTGAACCTGAGAGAAGTGCTGGGGACTCTGAGCCTGACAGACGCCGGCTGGGAGGCAGCTGTGCTCTGTGTCAAGGCATGGCGTGGAAAGGTGCTAGTCACACTGAGCGTGTGCCTACCCCTGGGTTTGTGCCAGTGACTGGCGAGGTGAGGCTTTTTCAGTCCTGCCTGGCCACTCTCTTTGAATGCTCTCTCTAAGTCTGTTCTTGCTGAAGACTGGGCTGACTTGTCCAGCTTACCTTGCTGTTAGTGTCCAGAAGAGGAAGCTTCATGGAAGACAGGATGAAGGGTTTCTTAACTTGCATTTGAGCAGCTGCAAGAAATGACAAAGACAACTCAGTCTCCACTAAGAGAAGACCAGCCATTGCATCCGCCCTCCACTAAGGTCTGTGTCTCAAGAGATCCAGCCCTGCCTGGATTTCCATGTAGGAAGAAGATGGGGAATAAGCCCATGTCATCTAAAAAACAAATAATTTTCTGCCAAAATAACATTATTTTACCCAATTAAAAAGCTAAAAGTGGGGCTGGGAAGGTGGCTCAGTGGTAGAGCACTTGCCTTGCATACATGAGGCCCTGGGTTCGCTTCCTGAGCACCACATAAGCAGAAAAAAAAAGGCCACAAGTGCTAGCCTTGAGCTGAAGAGCTGAGGGACAGTGCCCAGGCCCAGAGTTCAGGCCCCACAACCAGACCACCAAAAAAAAAGCTAAAAGTGCCAGGTGCTGGTAGCTCATGCCTTAATCTAGTAAGGATTGTGGTTTGAAGCTAGCCTGGGGAGAAAAGTCAATAAGACTATTATCTCCAACTAAGCACTATAAAACTGGAAGTGGGAGCTGGGTGCCCAGTGGCTCATGCCTGTCATTCTAGCTACTCAGGAGGCTGAGATCTGAGGATCGAGGTTCAAAGCCAGCCCAGGCAGGAAGTCCATGAGACTCTTATCTCCAATAAACCACCAGAAAACCAGAAGTGGCACCGTGACTCAAGTGGTAGAGCACTCACCTTGAGCTGAAGAGCACAGGGACAGCACCCAAACCCAGAGTTCAAGCCCCATGACCGACAAAAAAGAAAAGAAAAGAAAAGAAGGGGCTGGGAAGGTGGCTCAGTGGTAGAGTGCTTGCCTTGCATGCCTAAGGCCCTGGGTTCGATTCCTCAGCACCACATAAGCAGAAAAAAGCCAGAAGTGGGGCTATGGCTCAAGTAGTAGGGTGCTAGCCTTGATCTGAAGAGCTGAGGGACAGCGCCTAGGCCCAGAGTTCAGCCCCACGACCAACCAAAAAAAAACAAAACAAAACAAAAACTAATGAACTATGCAACTTGTGGGCAGGGATGGAAAAGGGGAAATGGGGAAAAGTGAGGGAAGGGATGACACTAAGAAGTATTGTACCTATGACCTGCACTTGTGGAATATAACCCTCTATACAGTTCCTTAATAATAACGATAAAAGGCATATACGATACACATGTGTGTGAAATACCCTTTGATACAATTCACCAGTTCCTAAAAAAAAAGATGAAGGTAAAGTAAAACAGGCTTGATATGGCATTGGGTACCAGTGAGAGGATGAATGAGGGAAAATAAGGGCAAAGTACGTTATGACTTTGAACATGCATGAAGATAGAGCAATGGAACCTATTGGCATGGTTTTAGGAAGGTGGGCTGGGAGAAGTGGACCCGGCTGTACTCAGACCTGGCCTGACAAGCTGCGCTTACACACAGCAGGGCTGGCTGGGGATGCCGCTCCCAGGATGCCCACAGTGCACGAGGCAGTCCGGGTGGGTTCAAGATGGAGTGGCTGTGATACAGTCTATTGTAGGTCTCTTGTAAAGCTTAGCTGACAGCCCTTCTTGGGATGACACAAATGTTTTCTCTTGGTGTCCCAGACAGCCCACCCTACATCCACACAGAGCAGGTGTGGAAGAGGGGCCTTTGTGAGACAAGAGAACGGCAGTTTCTCCTCAGTGTACTGGTTGTGCGCCGCCCCTGGTGAGCTGACTCCCAACTCTGGCTGCACCTTCTCCTGGCCAACCAACAAACAAACAAGGCCAGGCCTCCCATCGGGACTCCACCCCAGCTGGGCCACGATGCCATCTTTAGTCAGCTCATCTAGGCCTTCACAAGATCCCGTAAGACTGGGAATGATATCTACCTCCCAGGACTCCTGCAAAGACAGCACTCACGTCCTGCTGGCTCACGTCTATGGTTCCAGCTATGAGGGAGGTAGCAGGTTGGAATATTGAGGCCTATGTGGGGAAAACATGAGACCTACCTAAAAAATAAGGACAAGGGCCTGTGATGTGTCTCAAGTGGTAGAGTGCTTGCCTAGCACATGTGAGGCCTGAGTTTGAATCCCATTAACCACAAAACAAATCTGATTTTAAGAGGTGAGATGAGAAGCTAAGGGAAACTGCTAAAAGATGAAATTGATGGGGTACGTTGTGCGCATGTGTGGAAATGAAACCTCCCTTGAACAACTAATATATACTAGTAACTCCTTAAAAAGTAAACAAAATCTGTGCTCTTTGAAAGACATAAATTGAATATGAATAGCATGCAATAGTTTTCTAAGAAAACATTCACAGACCAAAAATCTTGCATTTGGAATACACAAACATATTAAAAATCAGTTAGAAAAAAGCAGTTCATAAATGAGCATAATACATGAGCAAACACTTAAAGAAGTACAGATGGCAAAGCAGCACATAGGAAGACGTTCAACATTATAGTCATTAAGGAAATGCAAATTCATCCCATAGTGAGTTGTCAATTGTTAGACAGGAGATGGGATTTAGAGGTACAGAGCCTGCTGGAGGCCTGGGTTAGTCCCGCCACTGCAACTAACCACCCAGCCAACCAACAGCACATAAATGAATGAAACAAATCCTGCCTGAGTACTTACGCACAATAGGAATTCCCATATGCCACTAGAAATGCAAAACGACACAGCTTCTTTGGCAAATACTCTGAAAGTTTCTGAAAGCATGGCTGCCTACATTCCATGCTTGCTCTAGGAGCCCCACCCATGGGGAGTGCTTACTGAGGTACACCAATGGGTTTTGTAAAAAATCTCTTACTAGCCAGGCACCGGTGGCTCACACCTGTAATGCTAGCTTCTCAGGAGACTGAGATCTAAGGATCAAAGTTCAAAGCCAGCCTGGGCAGTAAAGTCCATGAGACTCTCCAATTAACCACCAGAAAACCAGAAGTGGCAATGTGGCTCAAGTGGTAGAGTGCTCGCCTTGAGCTGATGAGTTCTGGGACAATGCCCAGGCCCTGAGTTCCAGGAGGAGGGAGGAAGGGAGGGAGGGAGGGAAGGAAGGAGAGGGAGAGAGAGAGAGAGAGAGAGAGAGAGAGAGAGAAACTTAGGGGTAAAAATATGCTACTAAATAATTCTTTTTGTGTATGTATGTGTAAGTTGTAGGGCTTGAACTCAGCTTGGGTGCTGTCCTTGAGCTACTTTGCTCAAGGCTAGTGTCCTGTCACTTTGAGACACAAAACCACTTCTGGTTTTCTCCTCTTTAATATTTCTCTAAAAGATTTCAAGGGGAGGCTGAATGGCTATCAAGGCTTTGGGGCCTCCCTCCCTCTCCCCGGGTTCACACCTGACTGCTGCAGCCGCCGCCAATGGCCCCTCACCTCGGTACACCTCCCCCACAGAGAGGGTAGCTCCTGCATACTTGCAGGGGCTGCAGGTAGCCTGCCACTGCTGTGGCCTCCTCTACAGTGAGGCTGGCCACTACCCCAGGTCCACTCATCTCAGAACAGTAGGTCCTGCTTGCTTTGTTTCATTTTGTAAGTATTTTATCATGGAAAACTGAAATCCATTAAAGTAAATCCTGACAGGACAATCTCACGGGCCCAACCCAGCCCCAGCCTTTGGTAACACACATGCACAGCAGGGATTCACTGCCAAAAATATCCAAACCTACTAATTTTCATCCCATTCAAAATGTTGTTTGTTTTTTTTTTTTGCCAGTCCTAGGTCTTGAACTCAGGGACTGGGCACTCTCCCTGAGCTTCTTTTGCTCAAGTCTAGCACTCTATCACCTGAGCCACAGTGCCACTTCTGGCTTTTTCGGTTTATATGGTACCGAGAAATCGAACCCAAAGGCTTCATGCATGCTAGGCAAGCATTTTATCACTATGCCTCATTCCCAGCCCCAAACTATTAAACTTAATTCCAACCTAACTTCCCATATGCTAGATAAGCTAATCGGTATCCCCAGCACCCACCTGTGGTCTGTTTGGACCACGTTTTCCCTTGCTCTTCTTTTTTGTTGGCCAGTCCTGGAGCTTGAACTCAGAGCCTAGACACTGTCCTTGTGCCTCTTTGTACTCAAGACTAGCACTCTACCACTTGAGCCACAACTCCACTTCTGGCTTTTTCTGAGTAGTTTATTGAAGAGTCTCATGGACTTTTCTGCCCAAGCTGGCTTCAAATCTCAATCCTCAAATCTCAGCTTCCTGCGTAGCTAGGATTACAGGCGTGAGTCACTTGTTCTTTTTCAATAATAAATCAGCATTTATTTTTATTAATTTTTCTTTTTTTTTTTCGATCAGTCATGGGGCCTGAACTCTGGGCGTGGGCGCTGTCCCTCAGCTCTTCAGCTCAAGGAGAGTGCTCTACCATTTGAACCACAGCGCCACTTCTGGTTTTCTGAGTAGTTTATTAGAGATAAGAGTCTCATGGACTTTCCTGCCTGGGCTGGCTTTGAACCACGATCCTCAGATCTCAGCCTCCTGATTAGCTAGGATGACAGGCGTGAGTCACCAATGCCCGGCTCATTTTATTAACTTTTGAAATAAGAGTATCCCCGGAAAAGAAAGTCTCTGCTCTCTGCTTTTGCTTCTGAGTCTAGAAAGCTGCTGAGTGGACTCCTAAGGTTCAGAAGAAAGAGGAGCCTTGGTACACAGAGACCACCCACTGCCAGGCCAGCAGTTTGTGGGGACCAGCGCCAGCAGAGTTCAGGCTGAGGACCTTGGCAGCTGCAGAGGGGAGGGTGGCCGGTGCGGTAGCAGGCCTTACCTCCTGTGTGGGGGGCAGTGCGCACTGCTGCACGATGTACTCCACCATCACCTCACCTCCGGGCTGCTCCAGGTAGCCGTGGTGGGCCATAGCACTGATCACTTGCACCACAGCCCGTTTCACCTGCCCAGAATGAACAGCAGGTCAGGAGGGCCACAGAGGGAGCACGTGACAGGAGCTTCACTCCTTTCCCCGCCTGGAATTTGCTGCAGACACCTGTTCCTGTGCCCATGCGCATGCCCGCACCTGCCTCAGCCCAGGCTTCCTGCTCAGTCCCTTGGTTTCATGTAG